GGCAGCATATGGAAACTTGGGGTGTGCAGAGATGATAAACCAATTTTTAGCAAGTATGATGAAACAGTAACCCTTAAAGCAAGTTGTCAAAGGCAAGGGTGCCCACAAAGCTCCATCAGCAAAATGAAAACATCGCTGTGTTAACAGGCAACACCTGCTGTAACCATTTTAGGCTAATATAAAAAGAAAATTGGAAATTGGAAATCATTCTTGCTGCTAGCATGCATGGGTTTTGTTATTGCACAATAAAATGGGCATTCTGAAGTGGGCTTTTATAGAGGAGATTTTGTAACCTTCAAGACAATTTTCTGAACTCTGTCTTTTAACAGAGATTCTAAAGCTTCTTTATAGTTCTTGCTGGTTCTACGAGCTACCCTAGGTCTGAGCAAAGAGAATGAAACTGTGGTAAGGGTTGAGAGGATGACTGAAACCTGGTACTGTTCCTGGAATTACTAGGTTTTTTTCCCTCTCACTGTTTATCTATTCTGTACCACTCAGCTGTTCTCTGTTGCACAGAAATAAAAGTTTAGTTTAAAAAGTATGTTAGAACAAAGCTTCAGAAATTGTCTGGAATTTCCTTCATTTTCAGCCATCTGGCTTTCATTGCTTACTTCATTCCCCTCCTTCACATACATTTACCAAATCTTTTCAACACACACTGGTCAGGCTATCAAATGTTTATAATTAATAACAGTCATATGCTTTTTAAAGATACTGCTCTCTGGTTTTCCTTGGGCTGTTCACGTCACTGCTGCTATAAACCAGGGAGATAGTGAACTTATTTATTAAGATTTAGTTGGTCCCAGCACTGAAAAAAAATAAGTTGAATAAAAACAAAATCTAACCAAATTCTACTTCATTTAAAATACAAGTATTTCGCCTCAAAAAGTAAAAAGAAAGAAGACAATGATTATTTTTCTGGTGATGACTGTGATCCAGTTGTAAGATGAATAAGGTCATAATCCAGGAAGGTGTATGACCTCTGGAGGACCAGACAGCTAAGAGTGACAGAATAAGATTTGATCACAAGTCTATTTTCTACTTTAATTCTGAGAGTCTTATGGAAAAATCAAGTTGCCAAGCAATACATATGCAATAAGATCTCATTTATAAATATGAGGGAAAAACCCTTACATTTTTGTCTGTGTGCAATGTACTGTTATAAACTTGTAGGAGAGCGTGTGGAAGCACAGGCACCAAGCCATTTGCAACAGTGATCTCAAGGGAATGAAGACACTGGAGGTACAGAGCACGGTGAGGAAAGGCATCTTGTGCTTTTCTGTTTCTACTATTTCTTCTGTGCTTGAGTTGAAAGAGTGGGGCTTACCATGTATTGCTTATGTAATTAGAGCACTTAGAAAACTTTCTTATTGGGAATGGGAGGCCGAATTCTTTCCTAATGATGAACCTTAACAATTTCTTTTTGGGTATCTTCCCCTGAGCTGGCCTAACAGAACACGGAAGTGTGAGCTGGGAGCTGTGTCTTCTAGACACAAATTACCAGTCAGGGTTAAAGACGCATGAAAAGACTTTTCTTCCTTGTAATGCTTCTTTTATTCTTATTAGCTCTGAAGGAAAACTCTCATTGGTGGCTCACAAGCAAAAAATGGTCCTAAGTTCTTGTGGCCAGTTTTAAGGAAGGTTATGAAGGGATGAGCATCTGCCTTCCATATACTACTGTCCACCCTTCCTTACCATAGATCCTTCCTGGAGTGCTAACAGTTTAGTCCACTCCCATTGGCCCCTCTCCCCTCCATGAAAGCTTGCCCTTGCTCTTTTACTTTGGGGTTATACTGCTATATATAGCTGATAATATAAGGGTTATGATCCTAAAGGAATTTACATTTAACTTTGTATTTAAAGCCTTCAGTTTAAGGAAAAGAATCCAATACTGGCATTTCCAGCACAATCTGGAAGATGAGAGAGGAGATAAAGGGGATGGAGAGAAGAGATAGCACTCAAGTCTCCCAGCTGTCATTAATAATATGGTCTAAATTGCTACTTATAAATATGGTCCAGTCCTTCATATAAATTTGTTAAAAAAAGACTTCAGAAGCACAGCAATATGTTAATTTCTAGATGCTTAGAATATTGAGAGGGTTAAAACATAAAGTTGAAAGCAAGGACTTTAGAATTTAGCTTCTTCAATAGAGAAGGCCCTAAAAATGTAAGCATTATGCATATGCCCGTGTATATATATACACACATGTTGGAGAAAAGTAGAATAAGTCCAGCTTGAGAATACACCCTTACTGTTGTGAACAACCAGGTATAAGACTGTAACTGCTTAAACCTGATGAAAGTTGAACATGTGTTTTTAATACAAGCACGGCTTTGCACAGTGTAAGTCAAAGAAGCCAAGTTTAATCTTAGAAAGACTGCTCCCAAAGATAGGACTTGCCCTGCAGGGCCTCTGGCATACGCTATGTGATCAAGTAACTCTGACCACATGCAAGGGAGAAGTGGCTTCCTCCTGGTGCTCAGTAGGACTGACAACTGCCGGGGATGGTGACTCATCTCCACCAGGGCTGCCTCTCCAAGCCAAGAGTCAAGAATCGCAAAATTTCTGTGTCTCACAGAAAATAACACTTTTTTTCTTTTTAAAAAATAACACATAGATGTCAGCACAGACAAGAGCCCAAAAGACCACGTATAGCAATTTGGGTCTATCAGAAGACACCAAAATGTACAGATAACACTGCATTACATAGAACAAGAAATGTGAACTGAAGATCTGAATGATCTTCTGGACCCAACTGGACCCAAGATGTACAGGAAAACCACACTCTATTGTGCCCTGACTAAATGCACTTCCCTTTTTGCGTGTATCTTCAGCCAAGGAGAGGAGAAGGAGACGTCCCTGAGGTTATCCTGAACTATTCCACAGAAGAACTGTTGTACACCTCTCACTTTTAAGATGAAAATCTATTTTGGCTCTTGGGTGGGAGATGAGGAGAGTGAGTCACAGCAGGCCTCTGCTCTTTGGACCCTTTATTGTTTTAATTAACATCACCCTCCAACTGCTCAACTGTGCCTGTTGACTCAGGAAATCTTTGGCTATGAGGAATATTGTCTGTGAATCCCACAGTTGACTACTGGGAAATAGAAGAACCAAAATTCTCTGGAGTAAATGCAACACTGTGAACTCAACATGATCTTTGTGTATGAGTCAATAAAAAAAGTCACAGAATAAATTAAGGTTATAACTTAACCTTAGTTATGCGTTGAGGACAGGAAAGAATACCTCATGTCAAATTCATTTTGCTGCTCAAGGAAGGAGTAGATTTAGTGGCCACGAACTCCAGCAGTTTTTAGCCAGTCCCAGGGTCCTGAAAGCATTGTCTTAGCTCATCATAGCATTTTCATGTTACTGTGACATGAAAATATGTAGAAAGACCCTTGTGCTTGCTATTCATGTGACAGTAAGGAGCGGAACATAAATGACTGTAGTTGTGAGCACAAAGAATCAGGAGTAGCTGTCTGATGATTCTATGTAAAGATAATGAAAAATCACAGGACATTTGAGAAGGCATTGTAACCTCATGTGCTCTTGTACACAACCAGTTCATCTTGCGGGTGTGGAAACAGAGTCATTAGCTTGCTGAAGGTTGTACTGTTAGCTGGTAGCAGAGGCAGGATAAGAAGCCAGACCTCTTGACTTCCTAGACAAAGGACCTTTCCAGTTGTCCCTGCAGAATCCACTCTGCTTCTTCTGTATGGGTGGATTAGAAATGAACAGAAAAGTTCATGGCCTTTGCCCATGCATTTAGGTTTCAGGATCACTAAACTGGAGGGCTGTGATTTTAGGGTCACGTGGATCAGGGACAGAAAAGAAAGCCACTTGGGGTTCCATAGACTTGATTCAAATTTTGCTTGGTATAGCTCTCAACTCTGCTTACCGGCTGCTATTTTTACGGGTGGAGTGTTGTTACTCCACACAGTGGCTTATTTCTGATTGCCTTGGAGAATGTGGCATTAGTGGTCTTCTCCTTTCCTGTATTTAAAGGAGGAAAGTCCAGGTTCACCATTCAAATCCATATATGAGCAATGTTTCCAACCAGCATAGATTAACTATGGGACTGTGTCAGCATTTGATTGAAGGCGGCTTGTCATCTACCTTTTCTAAGTTCCAAATGAAGAAATGCAGCTGACTGAGACACTTTGACCAGCACACAACTGTATATGCCTGACAGTAATACACTGATTCTTATATGGCATGCTTTGGAGAAAGAGAAGTATCATTCGGAAATGGCATTCCTTTCATATCTAGGATATGACCTTATCCAGGCGCATTCTTCAACCCATCAGCAGATTTGAAAGTCTGGCTTTGGTTCTTTAAACATCTACCTTCCAAACTCGAATTCTACATGGGATTTGCTCAAAAAGAAGAATCTAAAATGTAAATTTCTCAAGACACCATAAAATTGTGTGGACTGAAGTAGTGATTAATACCCAAGGTTGAGCAATAATGAGACCCAGGCAGGGCTGAACAATGAAATGCTCTAATTGATTTTATGCATGTGGAATGATACACACACACCCTAAAGCATGCTATAATGAATCTGCATGCTGTGTGTCTACAGATTTCACAGTGGGTCAATTATACCACCCAGATGTTCTTTATACCCTGTAATTCTAAAGCCAATTCATTATTATGGTGCAAAGACTTGGGACACAGGCTCAAAGGTGGCAGAGACTGTGATGTCTGTGGTCAGTTCCTTTTCCTTTAGTGAAAAGCAGCAGAGTAATACGTGTACATACCAGCCATGCCACAAGGCTCACTTCAGTGCCTCGAGTCCCCTTGACTCGATGTGCATGACCATTGATTGGTCTGGAATTCCAAAGCTCTGGTTTCAATTAAACTTAAGTGGATTTGACTAAAAGTCTGAACTGATGCTAATTGGTTTTCAAAACATTGGGTAACAATAAGTTTTCCAGTCTTGCCCGTGGAAAGACGCACCCATGTTCCTGGCAGGCCGGGCAGGCAATGCATCCCTTACCTTCCTGGGCAGGGATCCAAGTTGCATGGTTCCAGGCGCTGTGGGGGCCGGCGGCTGGTCACGCACAGGTTTGAATCAGCATGCTCCCGAGTCTCTTTGTTCAGGCAGCTCACCACAGCCTCTTGGACACCTGTGTACAAATCAGGCTGTCAGGCCAGAGTGCAGAGTGGGCCTGTGTGGGGGTGATGAAGTGTAGACAAGGCAGCTGGTGGGAGGTCCCTGTGATTGGTAGGACTCTTGCTGCATGTGAGAGGCGCAGTCTAAAGCCTGGGACTGCCAATTTTGTCATACATCACTCAGTGCAGGAGTGGGGGTTGTTGCTCCGTGGTGGAGAACTTGCTTAGCACATATGAGGCTTTGGGACTCGATTCCCTAGCGCACTATAGACACACACATGCACAGGCGCACAAATGCACACACACATACGTACAAGCATCACTTGGAAAACTACTCATGAGTGTGTGGCCTCTAACCATGCCACTTGAGCCTGCCCTCAGAGATAGGCTTCTACCAGTACTGTTGAGATGCAATTTTAAATGCCCTCCAAACAAAACAGGGTTTAGTGGTATACATCTGCAATTCCAACACTTGGGAGCCTAAAGCAGGAGGTTTGCAGCAAGTTTGAGGCAAGCTTGGGATACACCATGAGTTTCAGGCCAGTCTGAAGCTTATAACAAGACTCCATTTACTGCCCAACCCCTCAAATGCCACCAAATTACATAGAACACAAAATGATACACAACAAAAACAATTCAACAACAACAATGACAACAACACAAGAACAATACATGGAGTCCTACAGTGTTCTTTCATTATGTTTCATTACATTTTGATCAACAAAATCTTGTTTTAGCAAGAGAGCCCCAAAGCCATGTTTTAATATCCAGCATTCTATAGACTGCTGTGCTCTTGAACCCTGAGTCCAGTCCTCTAACAATGGCTACTTCCTTTCTGATTGGTGACTTAGAGCAGTTTGGGAAGTTGGAACGAAGAGAATAAGATACATTATAACTATAACCATGGACAACCTTCCCATGGACACTTGCGCATGTCAGCATATTGGCTTTAGTAAAACGATCATTTGATAGTTCACAGTGCAGGGTTGTTTGGCAGATTTTTTGAGGTGCTCTGCAGGACCCCTTGTGGAGACTTCACAGACTAGGGAAACACTGAAAGAGGTCATGTAGTGACCTATTCTATTGCCCACAGTCATATCAATATCAGCTAACTTCTATAGTGTGTCCATTATTAGCCAGCTACCATGCCTCAGGCCTCAGTATACCACACTTAGTTTCTTCAGTAACTCCATAGAGTAAGCACTATTTTTAGGCTTACTTTACAGAAATGGAAACTGAGGCTTAACGGGGTGAAAAGATATCCTGAAGGTCATAAAGTTGCTATGAAGTTGAGAGTGGTTGTGCCATTAGCACGAACAGCATTACCATTTAAAAATATTAAGAGGCTGTCGTATTTGCTTCCCTGGAGATCTTCAGAAATAACCTAGACATTTGTCGGAATCGTCACACACAGAGTGCAGTTGAAGGGAAGAGGCATTCAAGACATTCTTGCTAATTTTTTTTCAGCCATACACATGTATATAAAGAGACCTATATCTAAAGATATACTTCTATAGATATCTGTATACAGTTTTTGCAGAACCTCTATCATGCAACTACATATAAATACAGACATTCACTTGTCTTTATGTCCTGCATTGCTTCATCAAATAGTTAACATAATACAAGTGACTCATCATTGTCAGCCTTTTTTCTGTCCTCCTATACACTCTCTCCCACTTCCCAGGAGGTGATATTACATTGTCCTAGGTTACTGAGCAAGACTAAGACTTAAACAGTGACTTTCCAAAGCTACAAAATTCAAATCAATATACTTTTTTCTTCCGAGGTTTGAGAAATCAATTTTTGTTCTTAATAAATCAGAGTATTTACCCTATGGCCACGATGCTATCTTTTTAGATCTTCTTTTTTTCTAGTTTGTTATTTGTAGTTCCACAATTGAATTTATTTTTGTGATGCCCAGTTAAAGATATGTGGCAGTTAGGGTGCAGTTTCAACTTGATTGGTTTTGGGGTCTTCCCAGTGGATTGGTGGGTCTGGGAAGGCCATGGAGGCACAGCTTTGCGGTCCATGTGTGGCCCCTCTCCCCTTTAGCTCTGGCACTTTTCCCATGGTTCCTGGGCATCATGAACTAAGCTGCTTACTGTGCCATATCTTTCCACCATAATGCCTCTGCTGTGACTTACACCATGAGCAAGTAAGAGCCTTTTGTCCTTTGAATTGGGAGTGTGGGTATTGTGTCTAAGCAGAGAGAGAGCTGGCTAATACAGAATATTGGTATTCAGGAAATAGGATCATTATTTTTATTATACCTGGCAGTGCGGTTACAATCCGTGAAAAATTTTATCTAGATTTCTTCCACATCTTGAGACTGTGCAGGAAACAGATTAAGGATGATGAAATTATTAATCTGGTAGAGAAAAATCTCAAGGCAGCTTAATACTCAGGCTGTGGCATGGGTATTGCTGGCTGATTTTAGCCAGATTTATAGTGACAATGGGGAAAAAGAACTGAAAGTTAGTAAAAACTTAAATTTTGACCCAAAACAAACTCATGTGAAGTTGAAGTTAAAAGAGGTGCAGTTGCTAAACAGATTAATGCAATTAAAAGCAAACCAATTATCTCTGTACAGGGACAAGAAAAAAGATGCTGCAAATGCATCTCAGGAGTCTGTAAGAGCCCAAAATTACAGGCTCAGAATACAAAAGTGTCAACTTTTATTTTCAGAAGAGAATCCCTGGGAGCTCTGCTTCACAAGGGCCTCCTAGCAAATTGGTTTCTCAGGAATCATTTCACTGTATTCAGTTATCCAAGCACTCACAGACTAGGCAAGCCATGGTCCAAATAGCCCTGGCCATTGCTTCTGCTGAACTAGTTCTTAGCATCATCCACATGATGATGGTTTTACTAGCAGAAGACAAGAGCTGTGAGAACAGGGAAGCTTCCACCCAGGTTGCAAAAGAAAGCCTGAGGTCAGGCAAGCAGTTCCTGAGAGGACAGTGTAAGAAGCTATAGGAATAAAACCGCAGGCACAGAGGAGACCTGAGGAAGTTGCAGATGCCAGGGACATGGAATGTGCTGAGGCAAGCAGGCCAGGGATGGAGCCAGCCCAAGAGAGAGGCTGTGTGGTGTTGCAATGGGCAAGGCAATGGAAATGGTGCTGCCCACGTCCTTTAGAACTCAGTTTTACCGCCATGTGTCCAGGATACCACATATGGAGCTACAGGGTGAATGGCTGTCCTGCTGGGTTTCAGTCTTGCTCTGGTCCAATTCTTTTCTATTCCTCCATCTCTCCCTTTTGGAAAGGGACTGTTTTAACTGTGCCATCGTACCTTGGGATTATGTAATTTTATTCTATTTACTTACTTACTTGGTGGGATTAAATGTTTCTAAGTGTTCCTCTAGAATAAGATATATTTTGATTTTACTTAGTTGTTAAAAACCTTACAAAATTGCATTGATGATTGAGGTAGGAACTTAGCATATACCTTATTTGAAAGTACTTACTTCAGGTTGGACATAGAGGCACATACCTGTATTCTCAGTACTTCAGAGGCTGCAACAGGATCTTAGCAAGTTTAAAGCCAGTCTGGACTACATAGTGACACCCTATCTCAACCCCTATCCCTCCAAAACACACACACACACACACACATACACACACACACACAGACACACACCCAAAAAGATAATGTTGCCAGGAATGTGGCCTGTTTCTATTTGTCCCTTTTAAGACTTCAAGAAGAGGGTGGTAGGGATTACATTTTTGAAAGGACACTGGTAATCTGCTCTAGATATCTAAAACACAAATTTATATTACCACAAACCATTAATCATGACTAAAGATAAAAATCACCTGGGGCTGGTTAAGGACTGAGATTAAGCAGCGTTCCAGGCTTACTACTGCATAATCTAAAGTGTTATAAAGCCATGCATAAGGCCTCTGCAACACTGCATTGCACCTCTGTGGGTGTATGCGTGTGTTTTCTTAGGTGGGGTCTGGCTGCTAAGGGAAATCCAAGACAGAAGTTCTGCAGGAATTAAGGAGCACCTGGGGCCTGACCTGTGCTCAGTACACCTTAAATTTCTACAGGATGACAAAGGTGGATGGAGGACAGCACATCCCATACATGAATAACTGATGCAAAATGGAGGTGGGAGTGGGTGTGGGAGGAAAGGAACCTCAGGGAAGGGAGCCACCTTGGAGCATGTGATTTGGAAAGAAGGGCAAGGATTGCACCTTCTGGGTCATGCAGAGCTAGTGCAGGGAGGGGCTGAAATATGGCCTGAAACCATCCCTTCAAACTGGCAGGAAGCCTATGTTTAAGTATCCTGTCTTAGGATCTAGTTTTACCTTTCTTGACAGAAGCATAATGGGAGAAGACTCCTTAAAGAAAAAGGAGCCACGGACACTCCGCTAGATTTTCATGTGAATTTTAACATCTAGGAGTCAGGTTTAAAGCAAGTGCAGGTTTAAAACTGGGCTCTTTTATCATACCTCTTGGGTCATACCATTGATTCAGAGGTGGGAAATTAAAATATAACAAGGAGACGATAGCAGGATACAGGACACGGATCTGAGTAGGTTAGGCTCACTTTCAATCTTCCAGAAAATGGGATTTGCTGTGTTTATGTCTCCCAGAAAAGCATAATTGTTACATGATATTTGATGACAGCTTGGGGAAACACAGCCACCGACTACAGACTAACTTACTAACTAGTTCCTTCTGGTTGTTGCCTACGCTAGGTGAAAGGTTACTTTTGCATCTGTTGTATTTCATCTCTTGAGATTAAAGAAACAATAAAATTAGCCTGACTGGCTGTACAACCCCAAAATGATTTAATGTCTGTTTGTTAATCTTGCATATTTTTGGTTGGTTTCAGCAAAAATGATTAAAAATATACATAATCTTGTGGGTTATATTTTGGTGAAAGATCAAAGTTGATAATACAATAAAATGTTACTGCCAAACAATGACTTGAAAATATGCAAGTCTCATATATTGAAATAATTTGTTAGTGCATATGGGCATCATATGGACTGTATAACCCAAGTGTACTGCACCACTGCAGAATTTTCAAATGTAGCATTTTAGGTGTAAATATACTACATGTGGCATAGTGACATAACTATAGGTAAGTGTGATCAATTGATGACAGCAAAAGAACTAGGAATTTTTAGTAACTCTATCTCTCCTTAGACATAAAGGATAAATAATGTATGTACAGTGTTTTCTTTTTTTGGTGGTACCAGGAATCAAATTCATGACCTTACGCTTGCCAGGCAGGTACTTACACCACTGAGCTAAATCCCTGGCTCATATGTACAGTTTTATACAAAGACAATTCCTACAGGTAGAGATCAACTGTATATCAAATATCCAATTTTTATTTCTAAATGAATTGCTGCTAAAAACACTTTAATAAATTCCACATACATTCTGGACTTTCAATTTTAAACTCCCAACTGGTCAGTGGAATGGTTATACTCTTACTTAAAGATTAAGGTATTCGGGTATTTACATATTGTCACTGCATCTGCTGTTTTCTACTTGCTCATAAGGTTCCAGGCTTGACTTGCAACCAAGAGTCTAACCGAGGTCATAAATAATGCTTTCAAAGCACATTTGTTTGTGACTGGAAGTAATGATCATTCAATTCAGGTGATCGTGGAAACGGGGGGATAAAAACACAACTATCTGAACTCAGAGGCATTTGTCATAGTGGAAAGAAGCCACAGCCTTTCCTCTGAACTCTCAGCTCCTGCCCAAACTCAGCAGTCACCGAAGCTTATTTGACCCTTCTCCCTCATTAGGCAAGAAAAGATGTTTTCAGAATGAAGAGAGCCATACAAGTACAGTTTCATTAGCTGAGTTCCAGGAAGCTGTCTGCCAAAATTATTAGGAAGAATTTCGGTTTTAAGTTGCCAGGGCTCTCCATTAAAGCACTTCACAATTCTGGGGTTTTAAACTGGAAAATGTGGAAACAAACAAGAACCTCAAGGTCAGGACTATTAAATGCTTAAAAAGACTTGCTGGAAAAAATGGATTCTTTGCTGGTACTTGTTCACTACCCATTCCTTTTCAGCTGTGAACAATGTGGGCGTATTTATTCTTCTTACATTCTCAGTTGTAACAGAAGATGCTGCTTAAACATTTCCATAATTGTCATGGTTTAGAAAACACTTGTGGGAAATAACTTTTAACCAGTTAAGTAGGAAGTTATCTGGGAGTGGATCATCAACCTACCGAGGACAAGAGAAAGAGATTTGGCAGGTGATCAGTCAACCCTTCCTTACCTATCAAAACCTCTCAGGAGAAGACGTGGGAGATAGTGGCAGCAGAAATCTAACACATTTTTTACAGTGGTAAGAAAGACCATAATCTTGAATTCATTTATTTCCTGCTATAATCCTTTTTATAACAACTGAAACAAAGAATTGCTGAAGGAATATGCTAATTACTTGGTTTAATCTTTCTAAACTCTGCAATACACCAGAACATCATATTTTACCCCATGTACATATACACATTAATTGCCAAATGAATTTTAAAATCACTAAAGGTATTTTTGTATCAACATGGGATACATCTATGACCAGGTACACATACATCAGGAATTGTCTATGTACTTAAAAAAATGTGGCTCCTGCCCATAGACAGTGAACAGATTCATGCATATTCTGAGTTCTGCCACTTGATAGCTGTGAGATATTGAACAAGTCACTTGGCTTCTTTCCCTTGTTTCCTCATTGAAAAATGGAGTGGAGTCTGACTTTGATCATTAAAGTCTTTGCCAGCCCCAGCTACTATATATAAAGAGCCTATTTCTCTTTTGTTTGGAAATCCAGGTGAATACACTAGAGGGGCCCTAACCTGCTCTCAGAAACAGCAGCAAGTTTTGTACCATGGGTCTTGGCCCACACTACATGCATAGGCAAAGGTTTCGATAAATGTCCAGAGCAACACATCAGAACTCCCACTGAAAGTGTGGGCGTTAGTTGTGTTGGCCACTCAGTGACAGACTGAAAGTAACATAGGACAAAGGACAAATCCAAGCATGTTTCATCCTCCCACCCTGCTTATCAATTTTGGAATGGGGCAATCATATTACACAGCTGCATGCAGGGAGAGGCAACAGAAAAAGGACAGCGATGGTTGGGGCCAGAGCCAGGGCCCCCTCCTTACCTCCTCCACATGACTGGGAGCACTTGGTGAACCCCTCATACGTCCAGTCATACAGCACATCGAGATCCTGCAGGCCACCCAGGAGCCCATCTGCGTCGTCCGTGTTAAACTCAGGAATCTCCCCGTTGCATGGTCCTGCATAACAGGCACGCTGGGATGCCGGCTTGGGGCCTTCACACTCTTCAACAGGCAGGTCAGCCACGGACTGTGAGAAAGACAGGAGCACCTGGCACCTGACTATTCGCACCTGGATCCCCACACCACACGTGACTGTACAGGCTGACCAGGCCTCTGGGACGAACCTGCAGTCGGCAAGCAAACAAGAGGACAGGATGAGAAGTCCCAGTGGGGATAACACAGGGATTGTGCCGGGCCGCATGGCATCTGCCTCCACTTCCCAGAACTGTCCCAGGATGTGTGCAGGGCTCCTCTACCCTGCCCTGGTGATGGGAGCTTCAGTTTAGTTCATGAGCTCATTGGCCACTGATGCTAGATTCTGATCTGTGAGTGTCACGTGAACTCCCAGCTGCAAGACATTCCAGCCCCAGATCACCTGCTAGTTCTTGCCCTGCACCCACATGGTAGCTCTTCAGAGCAGGGAATTGGCGGTTCTCACTCTAAATCCCAGCACTTGTGCCTCTCACAGGATGCTGGCTATTCTTACAGCAGGCTAAGACTGATGCTAAAAACTCAAACAAAATAAGCCCTAGGAGATATTTAAGGAAAAGTTTTTCTTTTAGGCTGGATCTCACATTCTGTAACTCTCTTTGCTTTTCTGCTCAGTGTGCTCCCCAAGATTTATTTTTATATATAAAGAGGGCCTTTTTTTTGTAAGTTTCCAAGAATGGCACAGTCTTGCTCCTCACACATTCTTTGAATTAGTCTGCACTCCAATACTTTATATTGCAGAGAAAACCCACGCTACAAATTTAAATCCACAGGCACGTCACAATAAATGAGGGTGTTTGCACTCATACAAATTTGTTCAATATCCTCTTCCTTCCACCCCTAAAAGAAGCAACACGAGAAACAATTTGTTTTTCCTTGAAGTTTCTCTAGAATGCAGGCATATATCCAAGTTTAAAACAAAGTTTTTTCTTTCCATTTAGTCAACCATGGCTGTAACTGCAATGACCTTGCAAGGGACCTAGGGAGAAAAGCCCCTAGGGAACCACTAACATTGTTAAACAGCATAATAATTTGGAGAAAAAAATTTTGGGATAAAACTTTATTTTTCCAAGCTCCTATTGCTTTCTCATAGGGAGTTTTGCTGTGTAGGCAAGTAAACCTGGCTTCTTAACCTTGACTTTGGCAGAAAGGAAACTGATAAAAAGCTGATTAAAAGGTTACGGTCTTCAATGCAAATGGTCCCTATCTAGTTCAGGGCAATAGAAATTTTAACAGTAAACTAATCCAACTTTTCACATTGGAAAGAATACTACAAAGTCATTTCCTGGGCCTGATCCTTGGCTACATGAACAGCAGAGGTGGCCTGGCAGGGAAAGCACCTTTCTGCAGAGCACACACAGCTGAGACCCCAAAAGCACCCTTTCTGAGAGGGCCTGCCCCCAGCTACCTTTGAAGAGCAAGCACAGAATTATTCCCAAAGAAGTCTCATCACAATTTTACCAGAGTTTTTTCCCTCTAGCTTTTGACTTATCTTCTCGCATATAGACAATGTGGGGGAAAGATTTAAGTCTGCTGTCTTTAGATGATGACACATGCACGGGACTTTTGGAACTATAAAACCAAAATCTACAATCAAAATGATTTTAACTCTCTTATTACATGTTCATATACAGCTGCCTGGATCCTGCAACAAGAGTCATGACAAATACACAGCACCAGATTTTACAACAAAGGAGTAAACATAAAGGAAAAGACATGTTAAGCTATTTTGTATATCAGGAAGGCATGAAAGCAAATGATTAGCCTGCAGCTTTGACAATAGCGTAATGCATAATGCTTCTTTAACAATGCAGGAACAAAAATTAGTTTCTCAGTAAAAAAGATGGCAAGAGCTCAGAAAGAACTGCATCCTATTAAGTTTTCCTAAGCAGCAGGAATTATTGTTGAATCACTTAGACCTCTTTGTAACTAGCACCACAAAATGGAACCTTAAAAAGTTAGATTTGTTTCCTTTAGAGACAAGTGGCTTCTCCAAAATTCCACTGGCCAAGGCCATAAATAGTTTACCCCCACCTCATTTCAGCCCAGATGAATGGACCAAAAATGCAAACTCTTTCACCAGGAGGTCTAGTCCAACTTCATTCCCTTAGGCAAAGGGAGAGAGCTCTCGGCCCTGGGAGAGTGAAATGAGCCTGACCATGTGTATGATTTTTATGTGTTCCATACTGCCACTGTTCTCTGCCATAATGCACCCTGATACATTTGTATGTGGAAATAGTGACTTGAGGTACATGGGACCCCCATCTCCTTGGGGTTAGCTTTGATTACATCCTCTTTCCTTTTAACAAATTAAATGGCCTCTTTTGATTTCATCAGTGGTGAGCAAATGAACCTGCATGTAGGAAACTAAGTGGCTGATAACATCTTTAGTGATTATTATGCAATAGGACAAGGGTCAACAAACTTTTTATTAAAGAGCCAAATAGAAAACATTTTAGATTTTGTAGGCCAAGTAGTCTCTATAGTAACTACCTGTTATACCATTCTTGAGTAGGCAAATTTAGAGGGTTGTGCTCCAATAAAAATTTAGGTACAAAAACAGGTAGGGACATTGGGACAGTGATGGAAGAGTCTAAATTCGACCTGTGGGCTGTAGTGTTCCAATCTCTGCTATAGGAGGAACATTTAGAAAAGATGCCATACACATTCAGATTTGCAGATACTCCCCCAAACTTATCTCTTTCCACATGTATAAACTTAGAGAACAAACTGCCAATGTGATTTATGTTTTATTTTCCAAAGTGAGTTCTGGGTAAACTCTAGAATATGAATGAGTCACAGACTGGGCCTTTGGCTCTCCTTGCCTGAAACTTGCATGACTGCATTTAATCTCTTTGCAGAACCAGGATGAAAGCATACAAAGTAGGAAAGACATGCTATTGAAGCCCCAGGAATCATTGCAATGGTTGAAACATCTCTTTTATTCTTGTTTTTTATTAGTGCATAAGTGTAGTAAATAATGCTTCCATTTATCAGGTGGAGCTGGTACATGCACATAACATACCTTAATTCTATCCCCCAACTTTTCCAACTTTCCCCACCCCAATTCTTAGATCCCTTCCCATTTAAAAAAGATATATTTCCATTTTTTCCAATTCCTTTCTTTCCTTCCCTTTTCTCTTGCTTCCAATTCCTCTCCTTCCAGCTCTTGTTCTTTCTATTTGAGAAAGGTCTTCCTACTTGCTATTGTCTATCTTTTACTTTATCCCTTATTTATATTTTGGGTTTTTTTATATAAGAAAAACCATGTGGTACATAAACGTGTGTATATGATTTATTTCATTTATAAATAGATGCATCCATTTACCTACAAATGCCTCAAGTTCATTTTTATGTCAAAGTAGAATTCCATTATACATAAATAAGTTTGAGGCTATAGGCAACTACTTTGAAGGCAATAAGATTCACTATGATGCCCATTCTGGTTTGACTATTATCTTCTTTGGAAGTCCTGTAGTGTCTACAAGGTTTAGGTTTTATTGGTCTTGTTCTCTACTGTTTTGTTCAACTTTATAATACCTAATGAGATAGACAATTCTTCTTAAGGAGCAAGAGGCATTATGGTAACCATTGTAGATAACCTTGTACTCTGTTTTTTACATCATGTACTATGTCTATCCTTAGTTTTGACTGACAGCTTTGTTTTGCCATATTTCACTTTATTCTCTTCCAAAAAAAAAGTAACAAGAACTAAGGAGTAATAAAACCCAAAATGTGTAAATTTTGTTGTAAAAAAGAGAGGAACAAAAAGTACTCTAAAGTATACAACTGCAAGTGTGTTTAGGGGTGTTAAATAGATGACCATATTAATGTTTTTGGTTGGATCATTGAACACAACTGTTTGCAGTCTCACTGTTTGAATGTCCACTTTGTATGTTTTGATACTGTGACTTGAGCAACTATCTCTAAGATGATAAATGTAATCTATTAACTGGTGATTTCTTACTGTTTTTTTTTGTACCTCTGTATTAATTGTATCCTTACACTGCTTTGTTTTGTTTTGTTTTTTCTCTTTTTCCTTTTAAATAAAATTTAAAAAATAAATACCACATTTTAATTATCAATTTGTTGATGGTCATGTATTTCCAATATTTAGCTATGACAATTTGTATCACTATAAACATGAGTATGCACATATCAGTTTAATATGATGACTTTAACTCTCTCAGGAAGATACCTAGAAGGGGAATAGCTGGGGAATAGTTTCTACTTTTAGTATTTGAGGAATGTCCATTCTGATCTCCACAGGTTTTCAGTCCCCCCAGCATTTGTTGTTATTTGATTTTTTGATGATAGCCAGTATTTCTGGAGTAAGATGGTACCTCAGTGTTGTTTTAATTTGCATTTCTTTAATGGCTAGTAATATTGAATACACTAGAGGAAAGACAGCCTCTTTAAGAAATGGTGTGAGAAAATTAAATATCCACATGTAAAAGACTGAGTCCAGACTCTTAGATTTCAACGTGTACTAAACTAAAATCAGACTGCGTTACAGTTTATGTTTAGGTGTCCCCCCAAAACCTCATAAGGTCATGAGGTGGCACATCTAGCATTTGTGTTTGGTTCATTGTCTAGCGCTAGGATTGGTGATATGCATGCTGCACTCACCTATGGGCAGTTGGTTGGCATACAATATAAAGCAGGGAAGGAGGCATGCTTTTCTCCTGTTTGCCCTTTTGCTCTGGCTGCTGCCTTGAACTGTTGCTCCAGTGCTATGTCACCCTGCCCTGGAGCCAGATGATTATGAATTGAAACCTTCACAAACAGTGAGCTAAATAAGTCTTTCCTTCCTTCACTTTGGATATTGAGTATTTTGTCCTAACAATGAGAGAAAAGTTAACAAGAAAAACTGGATCAAAGATCTACATGTGTAAACAGAAAGATTTGATCTTCTGGAAGATACAATAGATAAAACTCTTGAAGATATAGGCATAGCAAGGTTTTATGTATAGAACCCCAGTGGCTCAAGAAATAATAATCAACAAATGGGATTGCATCAAATTAAAAAGCTTCTACACTTCAAAGGAAACAACAAAGTGAAAAGATAACATACAGAATGGGAAAAATTTTGCCAGATACTCTTCATGTAGAGAACTAACATCTAGAATATATA